TATATATATATATATATATATATACATACACACATATATATAAACACACACACACATTTGCCCCTCTCTTTGACAATATATATATGAATATATGAATATGAGTATATATACGAATATGAATATATAAATATATTCTACTGCAGAATGGCAGTTGTGGGGAGGGTTGCTAGAATCTGTAAATAGCTGTGGGTTCTTCTCACATAGGGATGCATCCTCACTGCAGAAATAATCCCCTGCTTTAACTGCCTTGGTTCAGCTGCTGAGGAATTCTGGGATTGGTAGTTTTGTGAGATATTTAGCCTTCTCTGTCAGAGTCCACGGCAAATTACACATCCCCATCCCAGCATTCCACAGAATGGAGCTGTGGCGGTGCCAACGCCTGCATCTGCGCTGCAGAAATAACCCAGTTTGATGTCGCTTTAACTGCCTTGGCTTCATGCTATGTAATTTTGGGATTTGTCATTTGGTGAGATATTTAGCCTTCTCTGTTAGAGCTCTGCTGACAGTACAAACAACAATTACCAGAATTCCATAGCATTGAGCTATGGCAGTTAAATAGTGTCAAACTGAATTATTTCTGCAGTGCAGATGCAGCCATAGAAGCTCAGCCTCACAGAAAACAGTGTGTGTCTCTTAGTGTTCTTCCTCCCCACTTTCATGTTTATTTACTTGCATAATTTTATTCCCCCCCCCCCCCCCCCCGCAATCAATTGTAGAGGCCCAGAGCAGGTTTTTTGGTTACTGTTGTGTGCCTTCAAGCCGTATTGTTTTTACTTATGGTGACAATGAATCTATCATGGGGTTTTCCTGGCAGGTGTTTTCTTCAGAAGAGGTTTGCCATTGCTATCCTCAGAGGCTGAGATAGTGTGACTTGCCCAGAGTCATCCAGTAGGTTTTTATGCTCAAGTGGTGATTTGAGCCCTGGTTTCCCCCTCTTTCTTTATTCTGTCTACAGCTCTTTCTATTTTATCCTTGCTCATTTTTTGGACACTGCTTTTAAATAATAAAGGCAAAGTTAGAATTAAGAGTTCTCCTTTGCTGGCCCATAAGAAGCCCTCCCAAAGATGCATACCTTTTCCAAAAGGAGATTTTTCTGTGTTTCTCACAGGCTTGCGTATGGATTTTAACTTTGCACTTTCCTGAAATCTCTTAAATTTGCTTTGCAGTCATACCTTTTGGGATTTGCCCTAAAATTCTAATGAAATTCATAAAATTCATTAGATCATACTACATTTTCCTTTTTCCAAGGTTTTCTTCATTAAAGCGCCACAATTCCTTACCATTGGCCAAACTAACTGTGCCTGATAGGAGCTGAAGTTTAAAGTATCTGGAGGCTCAGTTGTACTGATGTAGTGCCTGTTTCACAGCCATCACATAGCTAGTCCATGAGCCACATTTTCCCCCCATGAAGAAATTGATGCTTGATTGAATGCTGTCTCTAAACACTAAGACTCTATATGGCTGATATGACTAATAGCAGCTGATAAATCTCTCATCTGTGAGTTAATTTAATTCTCCTTAAAAGCAGGCAGAGGTAGGAACCATCACCTTCTGCTGTGAAAGCAAATTCTGTAAGTCAGAAGTGGGGAACCTCAGGCCAGGGACCAGATAGAAGTTTTTGGGTTTTTCCAGATGACCACGTCTTCTTCCCCATAACATCATTTGGTGGGATTTCTTAGTTTTCATATGCTTCCTCACATTCTAAATGATTAAAGTGCCTTTTATAAGAGAGGCAGCATGGTACAGTGGTTTAGTGTTTCACTACAACTCTGGAGACTAGGGTTCAATTCCCTGCTTGGCCATGAAACTCACCCCATGATAAAGAGTTGCCTCAGGGTTGCCATAAGTCAGAAATGACTTGAAGGTACACAACTTCACTTGTCAAACCTTTCCAACATCTCACAGAAACATATAGTGACCTGCATCTTCTACAATCCCTGCCTTGCCACTTAATATAGACACAATGGTCCCTTACAGTTGACCATGCAATGTAGGGCTGATTGGAGCTGTAGGCCAAAATATTTGGATGGCCGTGGCTTCCACAACCCTATGTTACTTAATATACATAGTTTTGTTCTGATCCCTGTATATATAAATGGGTGAGGGGGTGTTGTTGCCATGATGTGTATTATGTTACACCTAACATTAAGCTCATTTGACATTTTCTTGTCTATTCAGTGCGGAGAGATCCTTTAGGAGGTCTTCACACTCAGAGTGACCTCACAGTATCTTAAATTGTATTTTATGTATTCATTTATTTATTTGGAATATTTATACCCTGCTCCAGCTGCAAAGGCTCTCAGAGTGGCTTACAAATTTTTAATTAGACATTTCCCCGCCCTCAGGCTTACAATCTAAAAAGACATGACACAAAGGAGAAGGAAAGAGGATCAAGTCCAGCATTTCTTCTCTCCCTTTTGAGGCCATGGTGATGGCAGGTGGCCTGGAGGGAGGACCCTTCTTTTTTCTCCTAGGCCTGATGGAGCTGAGCCTGGCCTTCTCTCCCTCTGACAGATGGAGTGGACGGTGGGCACTTCTTCTTTCTCTGGGCTATTTTATCTCTATACTTCTCTCCTTCCCTGTTCACCTCATACTCCAGAACCTTTATGTTTATGTAATACCAATCCAAATACAAACACTTAGAGGGCTCTATTGTGTGTATATACAGT